CATTTTTGTCCCTAATTCCAGCGATGTGTCGACAGGGGACTGGGGAGCATTTCGGCAAAATGGAGACGATGACACGGCGTCGCTTGCAGCTCCCTGCTGCGCGCGCCCGCCCTTTTTCCCCCGCCGTACGAAAGATAAGAGCACGCGCTCGGGCGAACAACCGGGCGAGTAAACGTGCGCGTGCAGGCGACCGTGCAAGCAGGCAGGCAGGTGGGCAGGCGCTCAAAACCACGGAGCACAGGCGCGCGCGCGGGGGACGCGCTGAGAGCGCTTACGTTAGCGAACATGCAAGTCGCCGAGGGACTTTTTCTCGTCTCTTTATTTTGTCGGGAACTGCCGCGAAACGACATGGCTACGCCTGGGCCGCCCAAAAGTGGAAGACACTTCTCAAAAAACAGGCTCTCAGAGAGCGAGCTCTTTTTTCCTTGTTCCCCTTTAGGGACAAGAGCCTTCTCCGTGGCTTCGTTTGGGGACGCGTTCTGCCGTTGCTGCCGGGAAAACTCGGCAAATGGGGAAGGGGATTTTTGGTAGAACGCGTCCGCGCTCCAGGGCTCGCTCCTCGACCGTTAGGCTTAGCTAATGACCCGGCCATGCCTCGCGGAGTTGGGGAAAGGGGGTTCGTGCCGTGAGCTCGCGTTGTTGAAGGCACTCTAGCGCGCGACCCTCGGCGTCGTCTACCTCCCGAGAGGATCGGCAACCCCCCGCCGTTCGTCGTTTCAGCAGAGGGGGCCAAGCGACGCATAAAGAGGGCCACGTGTTCGCTTTACCTGGCTCGGGCTTCGACCTGCCTTGGCTTGGCTTGGCTTGGGCTCATTTTAGCTTGCGGGTTAGGCAGGTTAGGCTTAGCTCGTAACCAGGTTCTGTTCCCGATGCACGCCAAGGTTTTGTTGCTGTCGTTGCTGTCGTTGATGTTTTTTTTGTGTTTCTTTTTTTTTTTGCGAGGCATATAACTTTTTGTTTTTGGTGGCGTTGGGAAAGAACATACGATACGTTTCTGGTTAAATGCGACGTCCATGACAAAATTCGTATAAGAATGGCGTCTGGCCCAGAGTGCTGGCTGTCTGTTGGGTTATAAGTAAACGCGATGGCGTTGACAGCCTACATTTGCGTTTGTGCGTGCTAGTGGTGTGTGAGCATAATAGACTGTCGTATTAAGAACGCAGTTTATTTGTTTGTTTGTTTTTTGTAAAAATTCAGTGAAATTGATTCCCATATAAACTGCGTGTGTAGAAATTTAAGAAAAAATATTTCCGCGATCACAATATTATACATCGAATAATTAACCATACCTAGCTCACATGCTGCGCCTGAAGATTCCACTTTCAATATGAAACTAGAAGCGATGATTGACAAGTGCACATTATACGTCGAGATACTTCATTTCTGCACGCGAGAAAAAGGCAAACATTATTAATCAAAAGCTCTCGCTAAAGCAGTAACACGCAAACTTCATTGATGTATTGTAACTAGCCAGGTCCAATTTAATTATCGCCTACACTGAAATTACAGTTTCGCCTTCAAAATCCGCAAAACACAAAAACCCCGTCAACAGTGTAACTCTTGTGTAATCGTTTTCATTCACTTTTTGTCTAACTTAAGATGCGGTAGTTCCTTTTTTTTTTTTTTTTTGATGATGACGTATCATAGGGGATATCAAGATACGTTTTTTTTTCTAGTTAACTTTGTGGTGGATGCTTTGTGCTCCCAGTTTCTTAAAGGGGCCCTGCAATGACGTTTTGACTGTTTTTTTTTTTTTTTTTTTTTTATTTCCACCGAACCTGAGCGCACTGAACGTAGTAACATTAAGTCGGCATGATTCTTCATTGGCCACAAACGACAGCAAACACAGGGTAAAGATCAGTTCAGAACGGGAGCCACTTTGCGCTCCCAAACCGCCAAACGACCAAACCGCAAGCCAAACCTGCTCGCCGAAGGCCTTCGGAACGTTCGGAACCGATCGGATCCTCCAGCCCATACGACCGCAGCGCCACCGCGCACATCCGGGACCCTTCTACGCTCGCCACTGCACAGCAGTGCGCGGCGCGCGTCGGCGCCTGATCCCACTACACCTTTCTAGTATGCGCCGCTTTTTACACCGCTTGGTGGCGGGTATGTCGAAGGGTCGTTTTTTGTTTCCGTACTTTATGAACTGCATTTGTTTATTTTTGATCTAAAATGCTGAACAAAATCTACTTTCATACATAATTTAAACGGTTCGCGCCACTTACACTCTGTATTTCGACTAAAAAAAAAGCTTTTAGCGGCTCTGACCAGTCGTAAGGCAGGAACTGGCCAGGACCGACAACGTCACGATGTCGTCACATGCCGCGCGCGTTGGGCACCACGGGGCGCCGCTTTTTACACCGCTTGGTGGCGGGTATGTCGAAGGGTCGTTTTTTGTTTCCGTACTTTATGAACTGCATTTGTTTATTTTTGATCTAAAATGCTGAACAAAATCTACTTTCATACATAATTTAAACGGTTCGCGCCACTTACACTCTGTATTTCGACTAAAAAAAAAGCTTTTAGCGGCTCTGACCAGTCGTAAGGCAGGAACTGGTCAGGACCGACAACGTCACGATGTCGTCACATGCCGCGCGCGTTGGGCACCACGGGGCGCCCCCGTAGGTGGAGGAGGCTTCCACGTCGTCCGGTTAAAATATGACACGCTGATATTTAGTTACTCTCTTCGTGCCCGCTCGGTTGCCCGAACCACAAGAGACGTAGAAACTGCAAAAAAGGTAGACGCTTAAATAGGATTGTAGGGTCCGTTTAATTTTTGTTTAATCAAAGTGCCCACCTGCGTGATCACGCGAATGTTTGGCCGGAAGTTAAGGCACAACCACCACTAAAGCAGACATGTACAGGTTACCCAAAAAAGTAACTAAAAACCATTACTCGTTACAGATTCTCAAGAGGAACGTGTTACTTTACCTCAAAAGTAGCGAGTTATTTTTGTCGTTACTTTAACGACCAAATACGCAACTGATTTAGTTACATGGTTTATTTTTTTTTTTTTAGTAGTCGTTGCATTCAAGCTGTAGCTGCCTCTTGAAGTTTTCACCAGTTTTGTTTCCCCGCTTCGCTGAGAATAGATCTCCGTCCACGCTGAAATGTCGTTCTACTGATGCACTCAAAGGAACGGCAGTGTTGTGCTTCAGGCAGATTATCTCGGATCTCCCTCTCACTTTTGTTCTCTCTGCTTCTAAAGTTCCAAGTTGACAAGAGGTTTTCTGCCTTCCCGCGTTGGTAACCTTTGTGATGTACACTCGGTGGGTACACGATTCTAGAGCGCTCAACCAACGAACCTTCTTGTGTTCTCCGGATGAAGGACATTCCCAGCTGTAGAGTTCGACTGACGTGTTCAACGATAAACGTTGCTATACTCTCATACTGTTTAGTTGATTTTCGGGTTGCCCTACCGCTCTTCGTCGCAATAGACGCCATACTCAGACTACAATAGACCCATCTCACCAGCCAGTTTGACTACGCCACCGCTGCCGCAATGCATGGAGAGAACTTTAGTATTCCAGCACGTACCCGAACCTCGCTGGGAACTCTGCGAGTGAAAAGCACGCGACGGCAAGAGTCGTCTCGGACACTGCCGCCTGCTTCTTTTGAACTAAAGTTTTGTCGGCTTCACGCTTGGTGGGATTTGTCTATTAAAACGAGGCTTTTTAAACGCTGTTGTAGATGTTAGTCCCCAAAATTATATCAACATACCGTTACTCATAACTTAGCCTTAAAAGTAACTAAATAGGTTACTCGTTCCTTTTTTTCTAAATAACTAATTACGTTACTGTTACCTAAGAAGTAACTAGGTAGACGTAACTCGTTATTAATAGCGCGTTACGTACATGTCTACACTAAAGACATCAATATTAACCACGCTTGTGTTTAGTAATAGTCTTGGTGTTGTTATTTGAAGAAACATGCAAATAAAACAAAGGAGTCGAACCGGCTGCGTAAGTGAACATTAGAGAGTTTTCGGGAACCGTGTTTGCACATCTGACACGGTGCGATAGTCCCTTCGGTACGAACTGCGCATGCGCTACGGCAGAAGTCTCCCATATGCGCAGTCAGTGGCGGATCCTTGGGGGGGGGGGACGGGGGGGGGGCGACAAGGGCGGCCGCCCCCCCCCCCCTCCCCCAAACAAAGTCGACCCCCCCCCCCCCCCCCCCTTCTCCCTTCTTGGAGGGCAATTTGCCATTGGAGGACCCCCAGTGCACAAGAAAGAATGGGAGAATAGTATCCTTACAAATTTTCCGCCCATCCCAAAATGGAGTTCTGGATCCGCCCCTGTGCGCAGTGCGTATACCTTAGGTCCCATCGAACCGTAACGGGTGTGCAAACACGGTTCCCTAAAACAAGCTATAATCGAGCAAACTTTATCTTGTACGGGCAGTCTTGCACGGTACCCATTACAAGATATCTAATCACTTATAATCAATTACTTTTTGTTGTCATTTTGTTTTCATTTGATTACCTTCAAACCGGCAGAAAAAGCTGTCGTCTTTAAAAACTGAAGTAACCGGCAAAGTAACGGTCTTTTTTTTTAAGTAACAACCAATTGCTTTATTTCTTGAGCAATTCAGTAATCTACGGGAATACATTTTACCCGAAAGTAATCGTATTCAATCGCTTTTTTTTTTTTTTCGAGTAGAGTACAAGACTCGAGTAGTGTGCAAGACTTTACGAAGGACTTAGCTACGAGGAAGCGCTATAGTGAAGCCTGTTCAAGGTTGTGGTTCTATACAAGTACTCAGAGCAGCAGGGCGTCTCTCTCGAATACCCGTTTCCCGGTACGCGCTCACTGCCTTCCGTCGTGCTTTGGCTGCGCATGCGCTCTGGGGTTTCAAGAGACGCCGGAGCGCTGTCGAAGGTATAGAAGATGGCGCTGGAGACGGAACAACTGACATACCTGCCTGGCACTGCCATCCCGTCGGCGACTGTATGGTACACTACAGAGCCTGACCGTGTTGTTCTGTCTCCCTCGCAGAGCCCCCCAAGTGGGAAGTGGAGCCGGAGAACGCGGCGGTTGTTCAGGGCAGAAACGTTCAGCTCCAGTGCAGCGCCAACGGAACGCCGCAGCCGACCATCACGTGGATGATCGCCTCCGGTCAGTGGCGGCGTCAAACACACATTTTCAGTTTGCTGCAGTTATGGCCGCCTCTAAAAAACACTCGAGTGTTTTTTTTTTTCTTTTTTTGTGTATGTGTGTTTTTGTGGAAGTTTGTTTTTGATGGCATCTTGTTTGTGGAACTTTAGTTAATAAAACGACTAACTCGCAGCAATAGAAATGCACGGGCACTGTTTTCTCTTATGGAGAAGGGAAGGGGGGGGGGGGGGGGGCGGGGAGAGGGCTGCGCAGCTTCGAAGCCGCGCAGTCACACCACGAATACATCACGGAAAAAAGACACTCTGTAAACACAGACACTGTTTCAGGCGTGTTTTTTTTTCTCCCTGTGTGAGGGTCACCAAAAAAAAAAAATGACTGCCAACATTTCGAATCGTTTATATCTATGATGAGGCGAACATACGTGAAACAAATGCCTCAGAAAATTCTGTCATCGAGTCTCCAGCAAACGCCCTGTCGACTGTATAATGTGTGAGTGTATGAGCAGCTGCACTGCGGCTTCAGGGGACACGGTCAGATTAATATGTCATAGCTAGCGTATCATGTACTTTTTTTTTTCTTTTTTAGAAAAAAAATATTTTGCATTTGAAGCGCGTGTACAAGATTAATAATGGGAGAGGAATTAAAATAGTGCGTTCCTACCCTACCTAAATGTGCGAAAATTAAAAAAAAAAACGTCAAGTTTGACAGTGCTGAACTTTCCTTTCCTCTTCGTCTGCGCAGACTCTACGCGCGAGGAGTTCCTTCCGCTGTACAACAGCCACAAGTACGGGCTGTTCCCGAACGGCACGCTGTCCATCCATCAGCTGGAGCCCGAGGAGTCCGGCTACTACCTGTGCAAGGCCTCCAACGGCTTCGGAGAGGACCTCAGCAAGCTCGTCTTCCTCACCGTCAAGCGTGAGTCACGGCCCATGTGTGCGCCGCAAGTGGAAGTAACGCGATAACTGCGGTTAAAAGTGAAATTCGTCGGAAAGGGTAGGCACAAGTCTCATCCCTGCTGCGTAGTTAAAACGATATGAAAGAATAAAGCGTACGAACGAGTATGCGTAACTACGAACATTCCATCTATAGCGGAACTCTGAGGTCGACTAACGTATTTTGTTTCTTCCAATCAGCACGGATAAAATGTTCCACAGAGTTCTAATATTGAATTCATCACGTTGATCTGAGGAAGAAAGAACATGATTTTAAGTCACGCAAGCCCCCACATTCGCATAGGCAGCAGTGACATGAACAGATGCGCGCTCACCCACGGCGTGCAGAAAGGGACACGGAGAACCGGACGTGCAATTGCGAAATACAAGTTCACTCGCACACGCAAACACGGAAAAAGGCGCAGAAACGCTCTCCCGTACAACAACATACGCACAAAGGCAATGACGAATTCACACGAACGATCGAACGGCGGGCAGTCCTTTAAACTCGCGACTAGGATACAAAATGGGCCACGCTCGACCGGCCACGCGATCCCGCAATCGAAACAAACGCTTCGTTCACCAAACCGATCAAACCAGGGGCTCGAAATCTCCACAGTTTCCAACTTCGTCCGGCCGTGCTTCGTGCTCTACAGCAAGAACTTACGACAGGTTTACTCCGAATCTCCCGCCGCCAATCACGTCTTTTAAAGAAATAAAGAGAGACACAAGACGACCTTTGCCCTATACTACTCCAAAGACAGCTAAAAGAACCCAAAATGTCAGAACAGCGGCACACAGAAAAGAGACGGGCCGTCTCGAGCAAGATTTCCTCCACCATCGCCAAGTATATAAGGCCGACGCTGCCTGTCACAGCTCCCTAGCTTCGCACCGCCACGCATAACTCCCATCTCCGTCTAGGGAGAAGGGGAAGGAAGGGAGAAGGCCGAAGAGCCTCGATATTTGAGAGAGGGAGCGACATAAACTATGGGAGAGCGCGTGTGCAATTTAAAGCTGGTCGCCTCCTGCGCCGACTGATTGCAAATGCGCGTGCGTCGTCGGGTGGCGAGGAGGAAAGCAGGCAGAGAGGCTCAGACGCACGCAGACGACCGACACTTTCGCCACCTCCTTCCTAAGCCACGTGACCCTGTTCTCGATGTTGGAAGCACTCTGAATTAGAGGCTCTCTAGGAGGAGCAACGAAGCGCCTGCACTCTCTTTCCCTCTCTGTAAACGGGATCTCCACTCGCCAAGCGGGCAAGACTCGGCTTTGATCCCCGGGCATTCATCGGGGAGTCCCGTGCTTGACGCAAGACAAACACGCTTCCCCCGGCAGCCCGCGCTTTCACCCGCCGTGCTCGGAGATTACGGGGCCTTGGGGCGGGAGACCCCTCCGCAGCCCGGGAATGAATGTTCGCGAACGAGGCGGGATGAGCTGGGCGGACCGCGCCGGTGGGGGACCGCGGGCGCCGCGCCGCAGGGAACGCTCCCGAGTGTCGGCACATCGCGTGATCGCCATCACTCGGGGTCGCTTGTCGCACCACAAGGCCGGCAATCTGGCGCAGAATCTGCGTTCAGTTACTCTTCGCGATAAAGCTGAAGGCTTTGGGGGGAGCTATAATGTAGATGCGTGCAAAGTTTGCGAGCTTTTCGTTGATTTTCCTTTTTTTCCAAGAGAGGGGCCGTGGGCCCGGCTAAACAAATCGTGTTTGTGCATTCTAAAAAAAAAAAAAAATCCTTGTGTGTTTATGTTTTTGTAAAGCACTTGGAAGAGCGAATTGCTGCAGTCTGTGGAAAGAACTCGAAGAATCACGAAACTGAAAACAAAAATACGTTTGGAACCGAGAAAGAAAATGGCCCGCGCTGCGACATTGATCGCGACGTTCCACCACGTACTTACACCCTGCGAAGTTACCGACAGTTTTATTTTTCACATATCGGTAAGCGGTGAATAAATATACCTCGGTCATGTTGAAACTGTTTTTGTTTTCCTTTTTTTTTTTTTGCGGAGAAAGCGATTAGACATGTTCAATCAACCAAAGTAACATTTTTTTGTACGTTCCTATCGTCGCAGTAGTCCATAGTATTATTAATGTTTCCTATCGCAGTAAACCAATTTCGTACAATGATTGGTTAAATGAAACCAGCCACGGTCAGTGAATTCGCCGTAATCCTGGGCTTTTTTTTTTTTTTTTCGTGCGTAGCTGGAACACCGTGACGGTGGCAGTTTGGCTCCTCTTCATTTGTTCTATCGGATTGTGAAGTTTACTGCAGTGGAACTTAGAAGTTGTTAATGACAATGACAAGTCTGATGCGCCTTTGCTCCCTATTAATATTTCATTCTATGTTAAAAAAAAAAAGCGTATCAGAACATTTTGTTTTTACCCCGTCATACATTCTCGTCCCCAATAGCACGTTTCCATCTTCTTTATAATCGCGAAAAGGGTGACTTGGACCTATTCTCTCACCACTCCCTTCACCCTCGTAACGTTTAAAAGACATTCCTTGGCATCTTAACGAAACGTCTTTGGTTTATCCTGTCTTACAAAATTTTTACTTTTTTTTTTCTAGTGATGTTTTTTTTTTTGTTTTTTTTTTTTTTTAGTTTTGCATGATGTCCACACTTCTAAGGACAAAAGCTGTTTGTGACCGCAGTAAACGATGTAATAAACTAAATAAAACCGAGTATGATCTAGCGAAAGATCGCAAGCAACGATGCATCGAAAGGAACCCGGAAATAACTAACTGACGTTATGCCCGTCAACCCCTATATGAAAAAGAAAGTGATCACAAAGCTAGGTAGCTTCCTGACACTAATTTAAAAAAAAAAAATTAAACGTAAGTTTTCTCAGTAGTAAAAGCAGTTGACTGAGTTTTCTCAATGGCCGCGGCCCAAAATGCACGCCTCGCTTACTTATATTCCCTCCCCTTTCATTCTTCTTTTAGCTTTTTCTAAGTATCCCTTTTTAAAAAAAAAATAGTCTAAGGCATCGGTCTCATGGATGAAATAAACGGGACATACGTACTACCAACAAGCATTCCGAAACGTAGCGATAAAAAAACAACATCGCACCACGTCTGAGTTTTCTGCTTGAGCTGCCCAACCTGCTGCTTATTAATGCATTCCTAGTCGTCTTTTGATGACGCTACAAGAAACGACGTATCGTACAAAACAGTGTAAGTTAAAATAAATTCCCTAAAAAGAAGATGAAAAAACAAACATGCTCGGCCGTCTTCTTCCTCTTGCGAAACCAGCGACAGCAGCGCTTGAGCGATCCGTGATGGCAGGTGGCAACACCTGCGGCGTGATGAATGAAGAAAGCCATCACTGCGTCGACAGACACACGACGCATGACGGTGATAAATATAAAGAAAGGGGGCTCGATAAAGATACTAGACGCACGAAGGTGCAGAAGGCGCACACAGTATACACAGCAGGCAAGCAAGTAACAAGCGAGACGTATGTGGTGTGGATGGTGGGAGTTTTCTCTCTTGCCCGCTGGTCTCACTTCCACTATACACTCCGTGCGACGCGACTGGCACGCCGCCGCGCGGCCGGTACCGAAGGTGGGCAGTGAGTACTCCAGAGAAAACGAAACCGAAACCACGCCGCGTACGTTGGTACGCATTGAAGTCGGAGTGGTGCGATTGCGCTGGGTTCACAGCATGAAGTGCTGCCTGTGCTGCGTCATTAAGTTCTTCAATAGTTATACGTCGTATCTCGTGGAGACGAAGTTTCACAGTTTTTCACCTCGCCGATGTTTTGTGGGGCAGCGACAACGATAAAGCCGTGCCGTACGACGCGAGAAATTTGGTGTCCCGATCATGTCTGCCACTGTGTCGGCACGGCTGACATATTCTACACTGCCGCTTTGCGCTCTGCGTTTGTTTTCGTACCAGTAACGTCTACATGTGTCAGCGCCGATGGGACGAACTGAAATGCCATCCCACACTCGCGGGTATGCTGTGCCAATCTCGTTGGAGGAATGCCCTCCAAACAAGTTTCGTCCCCATCGTACGTGTCGATGATATTTCCGGACAAGTATGGCACGCAATCTGCACTTCATGAAGAAAGATTCGAAGAGTAAAAAAAAAAGTGACAAATATAAATCTAACGAAAACAATAATGAAACTCGGAATCACTGGAGAATCGGCGTTTGAGTATGGAAGTTTATGTGGTGTGCTTTCTTTCTTGATCAGCCTCCTTCTAGATGTGGAAACGCTGACACCCCGAGTTCTGTAGACATTTTTTTTTTCTTTCTCGGCTTTAGAGCCACCCATCGCAAAGTGGTTCGAACTGGAAGTACCGTCCACTGGCCCCTTCCTACCAATAAAGTGTGCACCTCCCACGATGAGTGGTAGTATCTGACAGCCTTTGACGGTAAAAGCCAGTTCCCATTTAGTTACGCCGCCCAAACTAAATTTCCACCTGGTTTCGCTATGCCAAGTATTTTTGTTATAATAACTGTTGTGCCAAGTGACGGTCATGTCAAAGTACCTGTGCGCCGAAAATCAGCACCTCGCACAACAGGTTATTACACAACAGCTGACCGCAAAAGCCCTTGGCGGCCAAACCGTGTGTTGGCCGACAACTTTGTTTTCTCGGCTTTGGAACCACCTTTCGTAAAGTTGTTTCAATTGGAAGTAGAGTCCACTAGTCCCTTCCTACCTCTAAAGTTTCCACCCCCCCCCCCCCCCCCCGATTAGTGGTATTCTTTTGACAGCCTTTTCATGGTCAAAACCGGTTCCCATTGAGTTACGCCGCCCAAACCAAATTTTCATCTGGTTTGCCTATAGCACCTTTTTTTGTATAATAAGTGCTGTGTCATGTTACTGTCAAGTCCAAGCACCTGTGTGCCCAAATCTGCACTTTGCACAGCCCGCTATAACACAACATTTTGGGTTCAATATTGGATATACCGTACAGCTTTATTTCTTTATTCGTTAGAAACATAACTTTCACACCTGCTGTCTTAATCAAACT